TTTTTCCACTGTAATTACACTCCCTCTATACAATATCTAGACATCATCTAGATAATGTCCAATTAGGAAACTCATCTGCTTGTACATAATCAAAACAAAATTGTTTTTTTAAAAGCCCCTGAACACGACTTTACCTGAAGTACACTGTTAAGGTAACAAGTGTTACCTAGATTGTTCAAGCCCACAAAAGGCAACATGGTGTCCTTTTTCTCACAGCTAATGAGTGACGGAGGCTGTGCTGCAGGAACAACCTGATCACTATTAAATAGAGAAAACAGTACATGAGAGAGAATTTTTAAACATTAGCCTTTCTAGTACACATGCAATTATCTCTCCTGGCCATCTACCATTTCAGAGTTACCTTATAAATTAGTGACTAATAAACATAAATCAAAATTGCGTTAAACTGTTTCTGAAGGCTCAGTATGGCTACCCTATGCACTCAAAGACAGACCCACTCAACTGAAACACTTCTTTCTAGCAACATACACAGAAATAGACAGGTTTACAAGAAGCAGGCAAATCTGTCATTAGTTCCAATACATATTTTTTGAACAAGACCAGGAAACTGACTTAAGGAACTAAAACATTCGTCTTTTGAACGCTCTTTTATGCTCTTCGTCTACTCCTAAGGCAGCACTAAGATAAATGTGCCTAGCACATATTTTCCTATTACTACCTCTACTCCAGATTCGTGTCATATAAGTTCCTGAAAACAAAACAAAAGGGTAAAGACCTAAGAGAGGAACCTGGCACATTACATCAGTGTTAATGTGCTGTTACTTGTAAAACAGGACCAAATCTTACTATCTTAAATGCATTTGTAATCTGCCATGATGAGGCAATTTTTCTTTTTCCCATTAAAACTTTTGCACTACTTGCAGCGAAATGAGTTGACAGACTCACTCAAGGCTTGAAACACCCTAATAAAAGTTAGTAAGTAGCATAAATGATGCTTTTACTTGTAACAGAAATAACATTTTAAAAACCAGTACTTTTCACTAAAACTAATTTTGCAAAAAAACAAAACAAAACTTTTTTTACCTTTTAAATAATGCATCAGAATAACTACCTTCTAATAATGTGAAATAACGGGTAACTTCCTCAAGTTATTAAAAAGTTTTTGCCAACTAAACATTCATAGTGAGGCAAGTTGATTCACTTGTTTTCTTAGAGGTCTCAAGTAGGAGTTATTTCAGTCCGATTAACCTGGGTCTAGGGTTTATATGATACATGTTGAAAAACATATTGAAGCAAGAATATAAAACTTAACAGATGGATGGAACAGCCATCGCTCATCCATTATATTAAACAGAACTCTCTGAATTATTGGATTATTTTTTACATCGATCTACATCACAATCAGAAATTCTTATTCAAAACGAAACTCTTACATACATTTCAGAGCCTCTGTATTCTGAGCTCTTTTGTTCATTTTCTTGTGACTCTGTAAAATCCAGTGCTCTTTTCGCTTCCTTTTTTTGGAAAAGCTTCAATGAAAGCCTGTTTTTCTTTGACGGGCTCCCTCTCGAAAGCCCGTTACTGTCACTCGGTAACACACCTGGCATTTTTCCTCCCTCACAAACAAATAAGGGCAGGGGGGGATAAGAGCAGCCCGGACAGAAAGCTGCGAGCGGCAGTCACACCTGTCAAACACACACACACAGCGTTACCGACTTTCGCGGCGGGAAGCGGCCCCCGCCCG